ATCCTCCCTGTGTGCTGCTACACCGCCACCACCACGACAACGACGACAACAACAACTACTACTAGTACTACTGCTACTGCTACTACTACTACTACTACTACTACTACTACTACTACTACTACTGGTACTGGTACTGGTACTGGTACTGGTACTGGTACTGGTACTGCTCCTGCTCCTGCTACTGCTACTGCTATTGCTACTGCTACTGCTACTACTACTGCTACTACTACGACTACGACGCCGACGACGACGACGACGACTACTACTACTACTCCTGCTGCTGCTGGTGCTGCTGCTACTGTGACTGATGCTGTTACGGCTCCTGCTACTGCTACTGCTGCAGTACTACGACGACGACAACGACAACGACGACGACGACGACGACGACGACTACTACTACTACTACTACCACCGCTGCCACTACTACCACTACCGCCACGACGACGACTGTCAATACTGCCTCACGGAAAGTTTCACAGCACCCGAAGCAAACAAAGGAACGTATGATACAGGGTCTGATGTGTTGTTAATAGCCACATAACAGCACCCGAAGTGCGCACTCATCAAAATCCATAAAGAGCCATAAGTACACTCACCAAAACCCTTGTCAGCACGGGCTTTGGTTCCATGCCAACAAACAAAATCTTCAGGTCTTCAAAAGCCAGCAGCAAATTCTGGAAAGACACCCAAACCCTACACCCTCAACCTTAAGATAACCTAAACCGTAATCCCTAAACCATACGCCCTACACCCAGCACCGCCCAAACTAAACCCTAACCCTAAACCCAAAGTCCGAAACCTAAACCCTGCTTCAGATTAGAAGCCTCCCGCCAGTTGGGCTGCTCGACAAGCTGCCGCACTTCGGCTTCGCGACGGGCATCCTATGCATGGGCTGTTTAGGACTGACTTTACTGGTATCTAGCCCTAAAAGTCCATGTGCTCATATAGTATATACATTGGCCCCACAGTACCTACATACGGACTACTTTAAGGCCAAAGTATGTACTATTTGGGTACATGGACCCTCAGGGTAGGTTAGGGTGTGTTCAGGTTAGCACTTTGGGTTTGGGCATAGGGCTACATAGACACATGCTATACAGAGTAATGGCATCTATGGTTTAGGGCTTAGGATTTGGGTATACGGTGAGCATATGGCAGGGTAGGCTTAGCTTCTTTTGGGACAGAAACTCGCCCACCTTTGGATATGTCGGGCATTGTTGGTTTGGGGGGGGGGTCCGGGCTATGATGCTTCAGGTAACCACAGGGTTGAGGGTAGCTAACCTGACACAGCACTGAAGCGTAGCTCTCAAGAAAAAATCTCCACGCCCGGGCAGGTCACGATGATGAATATGCACCTTTTGGTATCTCTACCTCAACGAAATATACCTGCACCCTACAAAACCTTCCTATTAGGGC